CCCCAAAACCCCAAAACCCCAAAACCCCAAAACCCCTTAGCTAGAAATTTCAGTTGAAATATGGAATTAATCTTATTTCAAAATCTCAATTATTGGCAATGTTGGCTCTAGCCTTGGTAATGATACGCCTTCCGACCAGAAGACCTCATCATAGCCTTATCATTTGCTCTACTGGCATTTGTTGGATCTGCATCAAAATTTCTAGGGTTCTCATTGTTGCCATAGTTGTACATAGTGCAGTTATGCTCGTCTCTTCCCTGAACCTCTCTTTCAGGTTTGGAAGAGGAATAGTGTTGGCTCGTTTCTTTAAAATTGCCACCTCTGTTCTTTAATGCTGAGAGCTCCATTTTCTTCTGCCTGTACTTTGTTTGTAAATATTCAAGCTGAACTTGGAGGTCATGGATTATCATATCTTTCTCTGCGATAACCTGATGGAACCATTTCTCTCTAAAATATTAATATCTAAAGCAAACCTTTCTTGTAGTTCAGCAGATACATTGCCAAGGTGAAATTCACTATGTCTGTGACCACCGTTAGATTCAATTGAAATCGCAGATTTTGATCTATCATGGCTACGAGGATGGTCAGTACTTTCAACATTCCTTCTTCTTAGAGAAGTTCTGTTTCTTGATCCTGATCTTGCTATCTCTTCTGTCTTCCTACACTGGTAATGACTCTCAGAGTATCTCTTAGCGTCCATTTTATGGCTATGTCATGTCTTCTCTTCACTTTGAGAATTTCTTCTCAAATTCATAGAAGCATTTCCTGGATGAGTATGCTCTCTGCTCTTAAACTCGCTTTGATGGATATGATGTGCAGAATTTTCAAGTTTCAGCAATGTAGTTGCAAGATCTTTCTTCTCCATCTGAGCCCAAAGAAGTTTGAGTTTCATGTTCTTTTCTTTGTCCTTGAATTCATCTTCAAGGCCCATGATCTTTCCCTCAACTTCAGCCTTGTCTCTCTCAATAAGTGAGATCTTTTCTTTATATCTTCTGATTTTGTCATCTTTATTGTGAAGTTTTTCCTCTAATTTCTGGATGATGGACTTGGCTTCATCCAAGGTCTTCTCTATTTCTTCTTCCTCTTGATCTCGAAGTTTGTGCAAGGTGTCCAGAGTCCCCTTGAGTTCATCCTTTTCAGCTTGGATTTTGGCTAAATCTTCATGAAGTTTCTCCTTCTCCTCGATGACAGACTGGAACGCATGTGTTTTCTCAGTGCACATTGCTTCTAAGTCAATAGCTCTCTTTTTCTCATGGTCTAGGGCTAGTTGGATTTCATTCTTGACCTGCTCAACTTCTTGGAGATGGTTGTTTTTACTAATAAGTTCTTCAATATCTCTTTCAAAAACCTTAATCTTTTCATTCGAGTCAGTATTGTTTTCTCTAAGCTCAGCTATTTTCTTGAGAAGTTTGTAGAGGTTCTTCTCTTGATCAGACATGTTCTCAACCCCGTTCTCTTCTTGCTCAAGCTCTTCCTTTGTTGGATGAGCATCATTGAGTAGAACATCTGTCACTCTGTTCATATCATATTGATACTTGTATAATTGATTCTCAAGGTTATCATTCAATTTTTGTAGCTCAGCTATTTCATTCCTTAGACTTTGGATAGTCTGGTCATTCTCATTATTCTGCTCTTTGCTTTGCTTAAGTTGATCTTTGAGCATATCAATATAATCATTAGCCTCATCGAATAAGTTATGGGTTTCAACATTTTCATCATCCTCATCTTCCTCTTCTTCTCCCTCATTGCTATAATATTCAAGATCATCGAAATCGAGTTCTTCCAAACCATCTTCGTTGTCTTCTTCATCAATTCTGTCGTCTTGTGATCTATCAAACCTTGAGTTTTGTCCTAAGTTATCATGTTGAGATCTTGCAGGATTATTCTGATTGTTCCTTGTTCTAACACTGGTATGATGTCTGCTTGGACTTTGAAGACCCATAGGTACACTAACACTTGCATTTGTCCCGTCCCTTCTCAAACTAGGTTGAATGCCTGCGTCTCTGATACTAGGAGTTCCATCTTGGTTTCTAAGATTATTCCTAATAAGAGCACTTCTCTGGCTTGGAGTTCCTTCATGACTTTGTAAATCGCCTAGTCTAACAGCTTCAGAACGACTTTTCCTTAGTGAAGCTCCATGTCCTCTTGAAGATTGTCTCTTACGTAGCATTGTTTTCCCTTCAGGATTGAAAGTATGAGATAAATCTTCAGACTCCTCTGATCTAGACTTATTGCTCTTGAACCTAACAGAAGGCTTCTTTCTCAATGTGCTCTTTCCACTCTTTCCACTCTTGTATGAGCTGAGCAAGCTCCTTGTTTTCGTGCTTTTTCCTTTCTTTCTTGGTATTCCATGAGAAGAAAGGAATCCGTCAACAGCGCTCATTATATCACTTTTGTCTTCTTTGTGAATGTAAGTATTCTCATTCTTTTGGATTGTCATTTTCTCCAAGATTTGATCATACTCATCATACATCATTTTGAGGGTCCAGAGTTTGCTTTGCGCATCTAACAATCGTGTCTCAAGTTCTTCATTTCTCATCCTCAACCTTTCGGAGTCTTCTCTGATTTTAGATTCAGCGTGTTTCAAATTCTCAAACTTTTGTGTCAGTGGCTCCAGATGTTGCTGACATAACTTCTCAATGAAATCTGCAAGGTGACTCTCTCTTTCCATTGCATTTTCAAGTAAGACCTTTAACTGATTTACTAAGGCGGAGTTAGACTCTATCTGACCAATAGTGTTGGGGATGCCGTACATTGTTGCATCTCCATCGAACCCATCTTCCATTCTTTCGAAATCATCTAAAACAGATAAGTAGAATTCTCAAATCAAGGCTTACCAATTGTTGACTTATTTGCATTGGTTACCTTTGCTGGAGTTGACATTCCCAGAGGAGCTAGGACTCCATTCTTATTTTTCCTCGCTGAGCTAGCTGACATGTCTCTTCTCTTCCCTTTCTTCATAGAACTCTTAGTTGTCGCTTGTGTATAGGCTGCTGTTCTCTTCCTGTGAGGAGACATCAACTTTTGGGTCTTTGATAGCTCGATAGTTTCATTAACATCACCTCTCTCTCCTGGTCTTGAGATTGTAGAGAAGAATCTCTTCTCAATTCCTTCAAAGGAGACTCTCTTTCTCGGATCTCTGCTGATTGGGTCAACTCCTTTGCTATAAATGGAGCTTTTCAAATTCTTAGTTTCTAAATTATTTCAAATATTTTCTCCACTCAGCCCATTCAAAGCATATAAATTTCTTATAGTATTCGTAGCGGTAGCCTTCAGATGATGGATCTGATTCTCCTTCTCAGACTGCTCCTCTTCAAAATCTCTGACCAGTCTGTGGATTTCTTGCTCTTTAGTTTGAAGTAGCTCCTCCAGCTCCTTTCCTTTCTCGATTGCTTCTTCGAGGAGTTTATCCCTGAGTTCATTTTGGGAGGCAATTTCATCTAACTTAGTATCTAGGTTTTCTATAATACCTTCCAATTGGTCTTTTTCATTATTTTAACGATTCAATTTCTTCATTCTTCACTTCTATAATTTCTTCTTTCTCATCAGCAAGATTATTATATTCTTCTTTGAGCTTCTGGATTTCTCCTCTCAGTCTGGTCTGAGTCTTGTTTAATTTCTCATTTTCCTGACACTGAATTTGGAGATCAACTAGCTCTCTGTTCAGGTTCTTATTCTCGATCTGGTACGTTTCTACCTTCTCCTCTGAAATTTGGAGATCCTTCATGGCTTTTTCACATTCATCGTTGAGCTTTTTAATAACTTTCTGGGCTTTCTCGATTGATTTCTCCTTCTCATCAGTATCAAATTTGACATCTTCAAAGGCTGATTTCAGATTAATGAAATCGTATTCCTTCTGCTCTAGTCTTCTGAGTAGGTCTGAGTTGACCAACTCGAGATTGGACTTCTCATCCTTCAGGAGAGATATCATCTCCTGGGCATTTCTTCCTGCCATTTTTATTTATGAAATAGCTGTTTATAAAAACAGTTAAATTTGAATTTATTTCAAATTTTTCTTTCGATGAGGGGTTTTGGGGTTTTGGGGTTTTGGGGTTTTGGGG